AGGAGGAGGAGGAGAGGAGGAGGAGGAGGAGGAGGAGGAGGAGGAGGAGGAGGAGGAGGAGGAGGAGGAGGAGGAGGAGGAGGAGGAGGAGGAGGAGGAGGAGGAGGAGGAGGAGGAGGAGACGATGGCGCCAATCCCAACCGACAGGGCCGCCACCAGCGAGCTACCGGACGAGGAAAAAATTCGATCTCGGAGGTCTCGGGTGTTTACTTCCCAACTATATTGGTATTGGGTCCCCGTTATAAAAAAGACAGCGACCCGCGTCTCCTCCTCTCCTCGTCCTTTATTTTCCTCCTTGCCCATCCTCCCCATCCTCCCCTGCTTCTGCCCGCCGCACCCTGTACAACGTTTCGTGGCCCCGTAGGGAGCTCCACCGAAGGCCAAAGTGGCTGTGACCACATGCGCCCCGCGCCACCCAGTACGGCGCTTCGCGGCTCCAGAAGGAATCCCACCGAAAACCCCAGTACGGCGTTTCGTGGCCCCATAGGGATCCCATCCGAATGCCCCAGTGGCTTTGACCGCATGCGTCCCTCGCCGCCCAGTACGGCGTTTCGTGGCCCCATAGGGAGCTCCACCGAATGCCCCAGTGGCTGTGACCGCATGCGTCCCGCGTCACCCAGTTCAGCGTTTCGTGGTTCGATAGGAACCCCACCGAAGTTCCCAGTTGCTGCGGCCACATTTGTCCCGCGCCACCCAGTACGGCGCTTGGTGGCGCCATATGGAGTTTCACCGAAGGCCCCAGTGGCTGTGACCACATGCGTCCCGCGTCACACAGTACGGCGTTTCGTGGCCCCGTGGGGAGCTCCACCGATTGCCCCAGTGGCTGTGACCACGTGCGCCCCGCGCCACCCAGTACGGCGTTTCGTGGCCCCACGGGGAGCTCCACCGAAGGCCCCAGTGGCTGTGACCACATGCGTTCCGCGCCGCCCAGTACGGCGTTTCGTGGCCCCGTCAAGGGGGCTCCACCGAATGCCCCAGTGGCTTTGACCGCATGCGTCCCGCGCCACCCAGCACGGCGGTTCGTGGCCCCATAAGGAGCTCCACCGAAGGCCCCAGTGGCTGTGACCACATGTGCGGGAACGGCGTTTCGTTGCTACATAGGGAGTTCCACCGAAGGCCCCAGTGGCTGGGAACACATGCGTCCCGCGCCACCCCAGTACGGCGTCTCGCGCCAACCAGTATCATGGCGCCAATCTCGCAGAGCGGATTTCGTTCGGGAAACGATGGGATGGGCCCGGAGTGTCTTGAAGAATTTCGTTCCGAATTTGGAGGTGAATTTCGCGCGGATTTCTTGGGCCATGAATGCAGACAAAAAACAAATCAACGCGAGATTCACTTTGTTGTTCACTCGCAGTTTCGGGTTTTTGCATTGACAGAAAACCACGCAACAAATCCGCTGCAGCACGTCTGCAAGGTCGGTGCAATGCCCAGTACGGCGCTTCGTGGCCCCACAGGGAACCGCACCGAAGGCCCCAGTGGTTGTGACCACATGCGTCCCGCGCCACTCAGTACGGCGTTTCGTGGCCCCATAGGGAGCCCAACCGAAGGCCCCAGTGGTTGTGACCACGTGCGTCTCCCCTCGCCAATTTAGGCCTACCCCTCACGCGTTTTGCGGCCTCATCGTGCTCCACCGAAGGCCCCAGTGACGACGTTCGCATGGCAGCCCTGCTCCATTTCGGCACGCCCCTCACTCGTTTCGTGGCTTAATATGAAGCGCCACCGAAGGCCCAAATGGCTGCCCCGCATGCGTCCTCGCCCCATGTAGGCACACCCTTTACACGCTTCGTGGCCCCATCAGGAGATCCACCGATGGCGATACCTACAACGGCGATGCTCACAACTGCGTATGGTTGGGCCCTTTGCCATGGTAATTTTGTTGCGCCTCTAGCACGCCAACCGCGGGCCACCACAAACTGGAGCGCCCGGACCAGGGCACATACCCATGAGCTACTCGACCCGCCTCACGCAACATACGGTCCCACGCCCGAGCCACGTCATACCCACGCTGGTGTCACATGTTCCCAACCCCAAAGGACATATCTTCCAATACCGCTTGCCAGAAGCCTCAAATAATACGCACCGACATGCACGAGTACCACCCGTTTTGTGAACGAATGCAAAAGGACACAGAAGACAGCCGACCAACAGCATTGCTCCATATGAGTTTGAGCATGCGCAGCGACAAATATGCCCAGTACACATCAGACTGGTAGATCCTGATTCACTCGTACTATTGGCAAGGAAGGGGGGAAGGGGTAAGGAGGGGGAGAGGGATATAGAGGGGGAGAGGGAGAGGGAGGTGGAGGGAGAGGCGGAGAGGGAGGGGGAGGGGCAGAGGGAGAGGGAGAGGGAGAAGTAGACGGAGGATGAGGATGTGGATGAGGAGGGTGAGGAGTAGAATGAGGATGTGGATGGGGATGGTGATGGGGATGCTGTTGCTGCTGGTGACGATGATGATGATGATGATGATGATGATGATGATGATGCTGATGATGATGATGTTGGTGATGATGATGATGATAATGATGGTGGTGGTGATGGAGGTATTGGTGGTGATGATGGTGCTGATGGTGATGCTGATCATGTTATGCTGATGATTGTGGTGATGGCGACGGTGATGGTGATGGTGATGGTGATGGTGATGGTGATGATGATGATGATGATGATGATGATGATGATGATGAGGATGGTGACGATGATGATGATGCTGATAATGCTGTTGATGCTGACGATGCTGATGATGAAAATGCTGATGATGATGACGATGATAATGGTGCTGACGGTGATGGTGGGAGTAAGGATGATGTGGACATAGATGCTGCTGCTTCTGCGGCTGCTGCCGCTGCTGCGGCTGCTGCTGCTGATGATGATGATGATGATGATGTTGATGTTTCTCCTGCCGATGATGATGATGATGATGCTGATCATGTTATGCTGATGATTGTGGTGATGGCGACGGTGATGGTGATGGTGATGGTGATGATGATGATGATCATGATGATGATGATGATGATGATGATGATGATGACGATGATGATGATGATGGTGGTGGTGATGATGATGCTGCTTATGATGATGATGACGACGATGGCGATGCAGATTGCGATTGCGACGATGATTATGTTGACGATGCTGATGATGCTTATGATCATGCTGCTGATGGTGGTAGTGACGATGATGAGGCTGCTGCTGATGATTGTTGTGATGATGATGCTGATGATGATGATGATGATGATGATGATGATGGGGATGATGATGCTGATGATGATGATGCTGATGATGATGATACGGATGGTGATCATGATATTGATGCGAATGCTGCTGATGATGACGATGATGATGGTGATGCTGATGATGCCGATGATGCTGATAATGGTGATGATGATGATGATGATGATGATGATGATGATGATGATGATGATGATGATGATCGTGAGCATGATGAGGGTGATGGTCATGATGGTAATGCTGCTGCTGATGATGATGATGAAGATACTGATGTTGATGATGATGATGGTGATGATGATGACGATGCTGATGACTGTGGCGATTGGACCCATGATGGTGATGGTGCTGATGACGATGACGACGACCACGAGGAGGAGGAGGCCGAGTAGGAAGGGAGGTGGGAGGTTGAGGAGGAGGAGGAGGAGGAGGAGGAGGAGGAGGCTGGAGGAGGAGAATGATGATTGGTATGTCGATGGGTAAAGGATGCTCATATCGAGCACCTGTTCTTGTGAACAGGGTGGTGATGATCATGACGATGATGCTGCAGTTATTGCTGCTGCTGCTGCTGACGGTGATGACGATGACGACTGCGACGACGTTAACGCCGATTATGCTGATGCTGCCGATGATGATGATGATGATGATGCTGGCGATGACGATGATGATGATGATGATGATGATGATGATGATGATGATGCTTTTGATTATTGTTCTGATGATGGCGATGATGATCACGCTGTTGATGAAGATAATGCTGATGCTGATGATGATACTGATGATCACGATGATGATGCTGATAATGATGATGCTGACGCTGATGCTGATTATGATGCTGATGATGACGATGATGATGGTGATGATGATAATACTGCTATTGCTAATGACGGTGATGATGACGCTGATGGTTAATGATGATGACGATGATGGTGCTGATGATGAGTATTATTAGTATGTGGATGCTGCTGCTGATGATGATGATGATGCTGATGCTGATGCGGATGCTGCTGCTGCTGATTATGCTGCTGACGATGATCATGCTGATCATGGTGATGGTGATGATCATAATGATGCTGATGGTGATGCTGCTGATGATGGTGATGCTGATGATGATGGTGATGATGCTGACGATGATGCTGATTATACCGATACTGCTGCTGCTGATGATGCTGATGCTGATGATGATTCTAATGCTGCTGCTGATGATGATGCTGATGATGATGACGATGCTGCTGCTGATGCTGATGCTGCTGCTGATACTGATGATGATGATGATGATGATGAGGATGATGATGATGATGATGAGGATGATGCTGCTGCTGATGATGATGCTGCTGTCGACACGGATGATGTTGATGGTGGTGGTGATGATGCTGCTGCTGATGATGATAATGATGATGCTTCTGATACCGATGATGGTGATGATGCTGCTGCTGATGCTGATGATGCTCATGATGATAATGATGGCGATGGTGATGGTGGTGGTGGTGGTGATGGTGATGCTGCTGCTGCTGCTGATGATGATGATGATGATGATGATGATGATGATGCTGATGCTGATGCTGATGCTGATGCTGATGATGCTACCGATGAGGATGTTGAAGATGACGATTCTGCTGTCGCTGCCGGCTGTCGGCCGGCTGTCGTTGCCGATCATTGTGATGATGATGATGATGATGATGATGATGATGATGGTGGAGGAGGAGGAGGAGGCGAGGGAGGAGGAGGAACAATAGGAAGTGGAGCTGTCGTTTGTCCCAGCTGGGACGGGGGAGGCCGACATCCGCGCTCAGATGGAGAGCGACCGCGGCGGCATGCGTGATGCAGGCGGCATGCGGGATGCAGGCGGCATGCGGGACTCAGGCGGCGCTCTTCGGGAGGGAGGAGGGGGGGGGAAGGGATGAAGAGTGGAGGGAGAGAATGCAGGGGAACAGGAGGAGGAGGAGGAGGAGGAGGAGGAGGAGGAGGAGGAGGAGGAGGAGTTGGAGGAGTTGGAGGAGAAGGAGGAGGACGACGAGGAGGACGAGGAGGATGAGGACGAGGGGGAGAAAGGATGTGCTCACGCTGCGCTTGGTCATCAGACTTCTCGTCTTCGCAGTCCTCACTGATGCAACCAGCGCCGAGCTCCCGGGACAGCAGGAGGATGTCGTTGCGCAGCTCCTTTGCTGTCTGTTACAGCCAGACCACTCGCTTGTGCCGCCTCTTGCTCTCGACCTCGACGTCGTCCTTCGGGGGCGTACCTAATTAGGGACAACTCCTTGGGTTACTCTTGCGCGTTCTGGTGGGCGTGTCCCCCCCGCCAGCTGCAAGCTTTGAGGGGCCGAGCGGCCTGGTGCTCTGGGTAGTGGGCCCCGGGCTCCTGTCCCACTACTGTTCTGGCGCTGGTGTGTCTAGTAGCTCGGGTGACCCTCTTTTTCGCTTGCGGCATGAGCAGTTGCTGAGCTTTGCCGGCCTGTGGCGAGATCTCGGTCCTCGAGGCCGTATGCGTGTCAAGAATGTTTGGGTTGCCGCGGGCGACCTCTGCCTGATCATCCCCGCTAACTGTCGTTAGCGGCGGGCGCGGGGGCCCGTGATGGCGACTGTGGCCACCCTTTTCGATTTGGAGTGGACTCCCACCTCTCCCTGCGAGTGGCAGGATGAGTTTTGCTTCGCCGTGGCTGTTGAAAACGTGGACTGTCGGTCTTACCTTTGGAAGGCCCTCTTGGTCACCTGTTCCCGTTGGACCTGGGAACAAGCCGCCGGGCACTATTTTGGCGCTGGGGTCCAGGAAGGTGTCGGTTTCTCCGCGCCGAGGCGATTGTTGAAGCAGTTTGGGCGGAACCTCGATTATGAATCCCAGGCCATTCTTCGTAGCGCCCTTGCGGGGGATCCTGGGCGGAGACTCGCCTGTTTGAGGCTGGGTGCGCCGCCTGCTCGTTGTGTCCCAGGTGCGGGCTGCAGCCTGAGACGCCCGTGCACCGCTTCTGGCAGTGCGCGGCCAACCATGCCCTGGCAACCATGCCCTGGGCAAGGCTGCTGTCCAGGCCGCAGAGTCTCTCACCCCGACTGCGATCGCGGAGAATTCCTCGCTTCCCTCCCTGTGGTGTTGTTGGCTGATGTCCCTTGACCAGGTCGTGAATGGTCTGCCTGCTCCTCTCTCGTCGGCCTGGGCCCTTGGAGCTCCTCCTCTGACGGGGGGAGTCTGGGGGGTCGATGGGTCGGGGGGTGGTGAGACTAAGGATTGGAGGCTAAGGAGGTGTGGGTGGAGTGCTGTTATGCTTCATGTCAGCGAAGCTGAAGTGGCTGGTGGTATTCTTGGTGCACTACCGCCGCCCTGTCAGAGCTTCCCGCGGTCTGAGCTCTTCGCCCTGCTGATGGTGCTCACAGTCACGGCAGGTAGTATTCTGGTGTTCTCTGATTATCTTCCCCTGGTGCGGAGCTTTCGGAAAGCCCCCGAGCATGTCGTGAGCAGTAAACAGTAGCATGCTGGACCTGTGGGCTCGTTTGTGGGATCACCTCGGGACGCGTTCGGGCCGGGTTGACCTCCGCTGGACGAAATTCCACCCCTCCCAGACGCAAGTCGATGATGTGCAAGTCTCGAAAGTGGAACTCATTTTGAATAATGCAGCTGGCCAGCGTGCTGGTGAAGGCGCCTGTAGGGGCCAGTTGGGTGAACAGGAAGTCAGAGCTGTCCGCGATGCGGACGTTCTCCAGGAGAGGATTCTGTTGCGCCTCCTTGCCATTCAGCGTGATTTTTTCTCACCTGCTTTCGTGAGGCCCCCTCCCCCCAAGGTCTCTCGGCTGCCCGTAAGAGGTCGGGCATCGCCAATGCTAAGGCGAGGGAGAGACGGCTGCTGGCCGCGGGCCATGACGCCACTCGCCTCAGCATTATGTTTCGGTGTTCACGGTGTACTCGCCCCTTCTCTCGGAAAGGGGCCCGTGTCTCAGTTTTGGCTGAAGGTTTGTGTCCCGCTTTCTGAGTTCGGCCAGGCTTCAGGGGAGTGGAATCCCCGGGCAGAGATGGACCCGCGCGACGAGCAGCCCACGCTGTCCGTGGTGGACGTCCAGGCGCGGCGCCCTCCCTTCGACCATCCCCTAACAGCCTCTTCCCCTCTGTCCACGAGTCGCACGTACCCTAGCGACCTCCCAGGGCGTGTTGTATTGTCTCGTGTGTGGGTCGGTCGGCATCAATCAAGCCCGTCAGTTGTCAATGGGTTGTGTTCCGCCCATATGATTCGATGCTTCAGGGTACGCACCAAGAGGAAAACAGACTAGTGGAAAACATGGTCCTTGGCGCTGCTGAAGTACAAGTAGTTATACAACAGGATCTTCTATGTAAAATCGCTGCTAAGAAGACTGCGGCTGTGGCCAATTCCGATCGGCTATCGGATAATATTCAGAAGCGCATGAAGCTGCATGGAGGAGTACACGGTCGAGGAGCTCCCAACCTCGGCATCGATGTATTCGCGGGCCAACGGAGAGCGAGAATTGGAACTCACCTTCCCTCGAGGGCCGGCATGTGAGGCTTAAGATGAGGGCGAACAAGCTCCGAAGGATTCGGGCGGTCTCCACGGACCTCGCGCTCAGTAGGACATAGGTTTGTGGCCTCAGGTCCTTCGGATATTACAGAGCTGAGGTGGTTGGGCTGGACGGGAAGGAGTTGCACCAAGCACAGAGTCGCTTCTTGAAGACGGTTTGTTCTGGTACCATGTCCCGCAGCAAGTCCTTTTCCCTAGTTATTTACCAGGGCCCCACTGTCGAGCTGGCATTGGGTCCGGTGCTACAGTGGTCCAGGATCGTGTGGAAGATCTGCACGGGTGCTATGCCAGGCTGGGACCTACCGAGGCTTCTCCGCCTGGCGACCCCAGTTTTTGCGAGAAATCCGATAAACTGGAACGAAGTCCGAGGCCCCCTCGGAGCTGCCTTGATGTCTCTTGGAAGAGTGCGCTGGCGATTCGACACGCCCTTCGATGTGTTCGACTCGAACGGCAATCGTGTTATTCTGACGTCCACCTCCCCTCAGAAGCTTCAGAGCGACCTCGAAGCGGAATGGTTGTTGATGTTATCTAGGCGGGCAGCCTCCAAGCTGAAGCTGCCCGAAGGTACTGTTTTGGACATGTCTGTTGCCGGGAGGCTTGGCGGCGTCAAGTCCCCACTGGACTCAGGAGAGAAGTCGGCGCTGAGGTCATTTCTATTGCAGCAACAGTGGACAAAGACGCGATTTCACCGAGCAGGTTATGACACGGACGTCACATGTGATTGCGGGCGCCCCACGGACGATATGCGCCACAGGTTGTTGCACTGCCCCTTGACCCAAGCCCTTCGCGATGACTTGGAGGGGGAGGTTTTGGTTTTAGTGAGCGGTGACCAGGGGCGGCATCCTCTGCTCCTTGGCTTCCAGATGGAGTATGCTTTTGTGCTTTTCCCCCCCGGAGGGATTGGGGGATCAGGGCGGTATTTTCTGGTGTCGTGATTCGTCGGTGTCGCTTGATGGGGCATTCAGAGGATAAGTTTATTTGGACGGAAGTGCCTTCAAATATGGACACTGGATGATGTTCTCTGCCGGATGGGGTCTGGCTGCGATCGACCGGCACGGTGAATTATGGGCAACCTATCGCGGCCGTGTCGGGCGAGTGCTTCCGCAGGCCAGCCTTGCCGCAGAGAATGTGGCAGCGTGTGTCGCCCTGGCCCAGTTCCCCAACATGACCGACCTCATTGCTGATTCTCACGGCGTTGTAGGAATGACCGGCTGGCTCCCCTGCGGACTGTGCAATAGGAGATCTTACTATGCTGATTTGCACATGCAAGCCAAAGGACGTGAAGTATGTAATGCCCAGGTTATGAAAATCTAGTCGCGCGTAAATCCTGACACGCTTGCGCCGTGATCTGATGAATGGCGAAGGGCCGTCGGCAATTCGGCGGCTGACACTGTGGCCAGGACCGGGGCCCTCAGCCATAATCGACCCTCCAGCGAGGAGGTTGCAGCTGCACTTGCCGAGAGCAAGGCTTTGAGAGCTTATTTGATCTATGTTGCTAAAGCTGTGTTTGTCTTTGCCCAGGCTCGACCTTCCCCATCCCGGAGGCCGCGATTGCAGCGTGGGCCGAGGGCAGGGGAGGGGGCCACTTCGACGGCGCCTTCATCTGGTGCCCCTGCGGGCTTGGATACATCAGGGCAGGCAGCTCGGGAGGGCAATCGGCCCCCCACTCTATGCGTTTTCGGGCGGCCTCCCTGCTGCGGGGGAGCGTGCCGACCACGTCAAGCCCAGGCCCCTGATGCCCCTCCCGCCCCGGCCCCTCCTCCCCTCCTCCCCCCGCTTATCCTCGCCAGTGGGCTTGGCAATCCCGCTCCTCACGCTGGAGATGCGCGGGGTGTTTTGGGAAGCGCCAGGGCGAGGATCGTCCTGATGCTGGCCGTTGTCCAGGGTTTCCTGATAGACTTCGCGAAGTGCTTCGAAACCCTAGGGGTCACAAGTTGTACATTGCTGACTTCTCTGCCTTCGATGACATATTCATTATGATATGTAGCGCCTGTGGAAGTTACACTTCCAATGGCCAGCCTGTAAATTCACATAATGACTGCGATGATACATTCAACTCTGATGGCGCTAAGGCCGCTTGGAAACGTGTAGGGGAGCTGAAACATCCTTCGTACAAGCAGGGGCTGGCCAAGGTGCTGGAACCTGCCCTTGCTTTGGACCTGAGCCGAGTGTGAGGTCAATCTCTCCTCTTCCTCGTCCAACCTCTATTTCATCCTGCTCTCCCTTCCCTCCGCGTTCCTTTGCGTGTGCCGCTGTGCAGTAGCGCAGTAATGCTATCGAGGATGGGGGCGGTCTGGGGGGAAGGTGATGGAGCCGGATGAGGTAAGGTTTACGTGTTTCTTTTAC